GGACGGCCGATCGCCTCGCCCGCCGCCGATGAACCACCTGATCCTGGAATGCTCCTTCACCAAGCAGGTTTGGCATGACGTCCTGTCTTGGCTGCACCTACCATGCAGCGCGCCTAATGGTGAAGGCTCCCTACCTGTCTGGTGGCGTTCAGCGCGGCAGGCCACGCCCAAGCCGATGCACAAAGGGCTCACAACCGCAACGCTGCTGATCCCTTGGATGACATGGAAGCATCGCAACGATTGCGTCTTCAATGCTGCAACCCCATTGACTAGCGTCTTGGTAGCAAGGATCAAGGAAGAAGCTGCACTTTGGGCAACCGCAGGTGCTCGAGGCTTGCGTGTCATCCTCCCACAGACCTGGGACGTCCACTGATGTTTTTGTGTTTTGTCTGTACCAGAGCCTCCTAGGAGGATGTAACAAGCTATCTCTCTTTTCAATATAATGACGTTTTCTCGAAAAAAGATTAAGAAAAATGCACTAGGAAACTATGACAAGATCCACATAAAAATAAAATTCGCATATCGGTAATTCTCCCTGCCTCTGCATCATAAGATGCACACAGCCAATATTATCCATTAGTATGCTGGTTTTACTCCCCCGCAAAAAGAAAGTATGCTGGTTTTACTGCACAATGATTGTCATATTCATTACATCTTTTATGCAACTTTTATCCAGTGTTTTACGATATGAATGGAATAGCACTTAACTGCTATAAGAAATGAGAACTGAAAAGATCAATATCAAAAGTTAAGACCAACCAGAAAGATGCTGGAGCCCGTTGCTTCCAATTGCAGTGTCAGAAAGCTCCAAGCTTTTCAATAACACAAGGCCTACATTAACACAGGGACAGAATCTCGTAAGCATAAAGAGAACAATATTACCCATGATTACAATCAAGTAATACTCCAAAGCAGCCGCAAGTACAAGCCAACATTACAATTTAGCTAAATAAGGTGTTTGTAACAAATTTCCAGTCAACAGCATATAACTGATGCTAATTCTGCGCTAATATCAAGGCAGTCACAAGGAATAAAAAAATTAAAAATCAACTTATTAAATACAACCCAATTTTGAGATCAAACACCTACTGAAGACCGTGAATGAAAATAATTAATAGAAAACTACTTCATAAATGCTAAGCCCCAAGATTGTTCATAAATGCTAACCCTCAAGAGTGGTAAGAAAATAACCCACCCTTCAGATGTAGTAGACCTTCATCTCCGATCTTGCATGAATCCAGGTTTAAGGACTCCAAATTGGTTAGTCCTACAAGGATAAAAATGCATGGCTAGGTTTATATACCACATAAAAGTCATGCAACTCAAAAATGATTGTCTAGCTTTGATGTATTTCTTCAGGCACTAAAAATAGAAGAAGTGTGGGGTCATCAGTCTACAGCCACTAGCATGATATGCCAATGTACAAGGGAATTCCATGCATTGCTTTTTATCTTGTCTTTTCGGTCTGCGATGGGCAGTTAATTTAGAGACATATATGAAGTACAACAGTATATTGTGCTTATTAATGTGCAAAAATCTCCAACATTTCAGCTATCAAAGCAACCGCCAACAATTTGTCAATTTCATGTCTTATCAACAATATCAAGTGTTTCCAGGCCTGTTCATTATTAATTCATTATAATATAACCATTATTGGCACCAAGCCCATTTCTCCTTCCAAACACACGTACTCGTGCCGTTACAAGAAAGAAGCATCTAATAAGGTGATATCGGGGTGCAAAATCGAGCTAGAAGTGTTGCATAGATAAACCAGCAGATGTGACCCCAATACTGACACATTCTACATGTAAACATAAAAAAACTGAAGAATATGAGATAAATTTTAAGCAACATAGTCATACCTTTCAGATGCACCAAACATGCATCTGTAATATGGTTAAAGCCCAAATTTAAGACCTTCAAATTTTTAAGATCTGCAGAGCAGCAGCATTTTAATGAATAAAAGACAACAGCATGACACGAATTTGCAGTGTACTATGTAGTTATCATGACAATACATATCAAGTGCTAACTAAGAGAGATGAACTGAGAAAATAATCTTGACTTAACAGTTACCTTAATTCTCTTTGTGTAGCACACAAATGGCAGATTCAAAGGACATTTAATAATATGTGTATGTTGGAACTTACATGTGTGAAAACTCACACGTGTTCGCATGCACTGTGAATTTTCAAGGAGGATCCAAAATATTTATGCATCGAAAACAAGAAGCATTTCTAAAAGAGGTTATACGATAATTTTTTGAAACTGCCAGTTCGACCAAACAAAAGTTTCATAACCATTTTCGTTAACACATGTGCTTGCTTATTTTGAAATTGCATTGCTACATCATGGTTAGAAAGAACACAACATTTACCTTCAAAGCTTCCGCAGCCTTCATCATATATGCCACACCGATTCAAATTCAACAACATCAGTGAAGCCAATCCTACAGAAGCAAATGATGCATAAGGTTATATTTTTACTCTTTAATGTCTTCAACATGAAAATGTAATTGCCTTGCATAATTTGTAGCAATTCTGGTTTCAACTTACAGACAAAAAAATACTAGTACTATTTTTCCCCGGTAAAGGGAGATTTAATTGACTCTTAACAACATATCGAGCGATACATCCATAAAGAGTTTACCAACCTCTGCATAACAAGATATCCACAGCCCTTACAAGACAACTGTAAAACACAAGAACAAGCCCAAGCGACCCTGGAAACGGATAATATATCCTACTTCGGCGGTTCGTAGAAGTGCTAGGGTTAAGCTTAAAAAAATCCATGATGACTTATGAAAGGAATATTTTGGAATAGCAGAGGTCTGGCTGACTTGGCTAAACGAAGGTTCTTGGCTGAGACAACGATGGAGCAATAATTAGATTTTATTGCGCTATTGGAAACACGACGAGATAACTTTACCTCACATTTCCTTGGAACTCTATCCGGAGGAATTGATTTTAATTGGCACGTCTTACCTCCTAGAGGAAGATCTGGTGGGATATTACTAGGGGTTCGGTGTGAAACACTTGAGGTGCTTAACGTGGTTTGGGGAGATTTTGCGGTCAAGTTTCGGGTGAGATCAAAATTGGATGGTTTCCGATGGTCTCTCGTGGCTGTATATGGGGCAGCACAACCTGAACTCAAACCAGATTTCTTAGCCGACTTGGTGCGGATCTGTGGAGATGAAACTCTGCCAATCCTAGTCGGTGGGGACTTTAATATAATTCGGAGGAGAGATGAAAAGAACAATGACAATTTTGATGGACGTTGGTCTATGATGTTTAACATGATTATCGAGTCTTAATTTGAGAAAAATTGAGCTCACCGGTAGACAATTTACATGGGCCAATTTGTTGCCCACTCTGACTTATGAGAAGTTGGATAGGGTACTCGCTAGTGTGGAATGGGAACAAAAGTACCCATTGGTGTCGGTTCATGCGATGCAGAGAGCGATCTCAGATCACACACCCCTTCTTGTAGACTCGGGAGAGGCTACACACGTTGCGAACAAGAATGCTTTCTCTTTCGAACTAGGTTGGTTCGAGAAAGAGAACTTTTTGGAGATCATTGCACGCGAATGGGCAAAGCCTGTTAGTGGAAGAACTAGTATTGAGAGATGGCAAAATAAAATCAGACACATGAGACAGTTCTTGCGAGGTTGGGCCAGAAACGAGAGTGGGATTTACAAACAAGAAAAAGAGCGACTCACTCAATTGATTGAAGCGCTAGATTTAAAAGCTGAAAGCAACCTTCTTACGGTTAATGAGCAAAGCTCCAAGTACGAAGCTGAGCAAGGCTTACGAGCTCTTCTTAGAGAAGAGGAGCTCAAGTGGGCATTGCGTGCTAAAGTGCTTAAGGTTGTCCAAGGGGATGACAATACACAATTCTTCCATATGATTGTGAATGGCAAACATAGGAAGAAAAAAATCATACAGCTTGAACAGGACGAGGGGACAATTGTGGGGCATGAGAATCTGAAAGCTTGTATCTTTAATTACTACTCCCTCCGTTCGGAATTACTTGTCTCGAAAATGGATGTATCTAGAACTAAAATATGTCTAGATACATCCATTTCTTCGACAAGTAATTCAGAATGGAGGGAGTATAAACAACTTTTGGGGCATCCGGAAGCTAGCACGGTGGCCCTAGATGAATCTGTTATTGGAGATATCCCTCAGCTCCAGGTAGAGGAGAATGATATTCTATCTGCACCGTTTACTGAGAAGGAGGTTCTGGATGCAATCTCACAAATGAAACCGAATAAAGCACCGAGACCAGATGGGTTTCCAGCTGAATTCTATAAGAAATGTTGGCATATTATTAAGGATGATCTTATGCCTATGTTTCATGATTTCTTTAACAGTCATTTAGAGTTGTTTCATCTTAACTTTGGCATGATTACGCTGTTGCCAAAGAAAGAAGAGGCAGTTCGGATCGAACAATTCAGGCCCATATGTCTTCTTAACGTGAGTTTCAAATTTTTTGCAAAGGTGGGTACCAATAGATTGACACAGATTGCTCATTCCGTGGTACAACCGAGCCAGACAGCGTTCATGCCAGGGCGACACATACTTGAAGGGGTGGTCGTTTTGCATGAAACGCTACATGAAATTCATTCGAAGAAGCTAGATGGGGTTATCTTCAAAGTGGATTTTGAGAAGGCATATGATAAAGTTAAGTGGCCTTTCCTTCAGCAGGCAATGCGCATGAAAGGATTTAGTGAGGCCTGGCGGAACCAAGTGGGTTCTCAAGTCCAGAAGGGTAATGCCAGAATCAAGGTTAACGATGATATGATATCGGTCATTACTTTCAGACACACAAGGGTTTGAGACAAGGAGATTCCATGTCTCCTCTCTTGTTTAATGTAGTAGCCGATATGTTGGCCATTCTTATTGGCAGGGCCAAGCAGCATGGTCAAGTGGAGGGGTTAGTTCCTCATCTGGTCGATGGAGGAGTATCCATCTTACAGTACGCTGACGACACTATCTTATTCATGGAACATGACATTGCTAAGGCGCGTAACATGAAACTTATATTATGTCTCTTCGAACAATTGTCTGGTTTAAAGATAAACTTTCACAAGAGTGAGTTGTTCTGCCTTGGGAAGGCCAAAGACGAGCAAGACACTTATAGACAACTGTTCGGGTGTGAATTAGGTTCTTTACCATTTAGTTATTTGGGCATACCGATTCACCACTGTAAGCTATCCAATAAAGAATGGAAGTGTATCAAAGATCGAATTGAAAAAAAGCTTAGCTGCTGGAAGGGCAGGCTTATGTCTTATGGAGGTCGGCTAGTGCTGATTACTGTACTGACTAGTATGCCGATGTTCCTACTATCGTTCTTCGAAATTCCAAAAGGGGTACGGAAGCGACTTGATTTCTTCAGATCTCAGTTCTTCTGGCAGTCCGATGAGGCCAAGAGGAAATACCGTCTCGTGCGATGGGATATCCTTTGCCGACCAAAAGACCAGGGGGGTCTCGGTATTGAGAACTTAGAAATCAAGAATAAATGCCTTATGAGCAAATGGCTCTATAGGTTAGAGACAGAGCCGGAGGGCATGTGGGCACAGATTTTGCGGAATAAGCATTTACAGTCGAAAACGCTCGCCCAGGTTACCATGAGACCAACTGACTCGCCATTCTGGAGAGGGCTTATGAGAACGAAGGACTTGTTCTTTCGTAGGGTCAAATTCTTGGTTGGCAATGGGATGTCAACAAGATTTTGGGAGGATACGTGGTTAGGAGAGACACCCCTGGCCGTACAATATCCCACCCTTTATAACATTGTGCAACGTAAGGAGGATTACATAGGCACAGTTTTCCAAACGATTCCTTTGAATATTCAGTTCAGACGTGCGTTAGTTGGTGAGCGATGGACTGCCTGGATGCACTTGGTTCGGAGATTGATAGATGTTCAACTCTCCGACCAGACGGATTCGACGCAATGGAAATTAGCTAAAAATGAGGTATTTACAATGAAATCTTTCTATATGGATTTGATTAATTCTGGCCCAATCTCAAGATCGTTGCATATTTGGAAGATTAAGGTTCCCTTGTGTATTAAAAATTTTATGTGGTTCGTCCACAAGCAAGTAATACTCACCAAGGACAACTTAATCAAGAGGCGATGGGTAGGTAGTTCACGTTGTTGTTTTTGTGATCATGATGAAACAATACAACATTTATTCCTTGAATGCCCACTGGCCAAATTGCTTTGGAGAACGATTCATATAGCCTTCAACATTAATCCTCCAGTTGACATTGAGTCGTTGTTTGGAACGCGGTTAGCTGGGGTTGAACATACTACTGCGGCTCGTATTCAGATTGGAATATGTGCGCTTCTGTGGGCTATATGGAACTGTAGGAATGATTTGATTTTTAACAGACAACACACTTTTAACTTTCTTGCAGGTCATCTTCAGAGCTACCGCATGGATCCGTACGTGGTCCTTACTCACTCCTATGGACTCCAGGGAGCCTTTGGTTACTGGGTGCAACCAGTGGGAGATGGTAGCACGGGCTATATTCAACCGGTTCCGCGGTTCGGATGGCAGCCGCATAACAGGATAGGAGTCTAGGAAGCTTATCCTTCATATTGCCGTACCGGTTGTGATTGTCAGCATGTACTTTTCTTTTATTCTTTTGCTTCGCTCCGCTTGCGAGCTGTAATACTTTTATGACTTTGTGATACTTCCTGGATTTTTTAATAAGATGGCTGCAGGCATCGTCATGATGCAGAGGCCGGGGGTACGCCTCCATTTCCAAAAAAAAAACAAGAACATGAATCATATATGACTCGCATAAATCAGTGACCAATGCAAGACAAGTGCTAAAGTTCATAAACCACTGGAAACTGGCTGGTCTATCCAAACCAGTAACACACTTGTTTTCCACAATAGGGCTGGCTAAGGCTATTAAGGACACTGACCCCAATCTCCATTTTAGGCGGAATAAAGATATTGTTATCTGTTCCACTTGACTTAAACATCAGAATTTTTAAATATTTTTTCTTTACAAAAACAAAAACATTTTTGCTTAAACGACTCACACTGGAACAACCCAGGTAGCTAAATAAGTACTAAACAAAGTGATTTAACTCTGCACTATCAGGAGACCTTACGTATGATGAACAGAACATATGAGACACGGTTAGGAGATGTTTGGAAGAACATTATTTCTTGGTAGGTTAAGGTAGTTAGTTAAAACTTGAAGTCCAGAAAGGCTCGCAAGGAGGAAAAGAATTATGTTCGCTACCCCTATTGCTATTGATGAAATCACCCTTCAAGCAGCAGAATCAGACTACTCTTTTCAATTTTTATTACGTCTATTACTAAGTTTTCGAGTAAACTGAAGTTACCAGTGACCTAGTACGAATTGCCAAAAATACAAGAAATAGTTTACTAGTTAACAAACTAAATGACCACGAATCTAAGAAAATGAACCATGCAAGCCTACTGAATCAAGGTACAAGCCATTATTAGGAAATTTGTGGAAAGTTGCAGGACCTGAGATAGCTTCCAAGCATGCAGCGGTCACTGGACAGCTCTCCAAGTTAAGATGAGTTAACTTAGACAAGCCTACAGAAAACAGATAAAATGTAAACACATAAGCTTTGGATCAGATCAACGTCAAGAAATTAAATACAGACCATGCACTGACCTATAGAACACCAAATAATGATCCTTGGATCATTCCAACACTCAAAATTAAAGCACCGAATTCTAAATAGGAAAGAGGCAGGTTATAGTCATGTTTACCTGTAAGATAAGAAATACCCAGATCTGTAATTCTGCAAGAAGACAATTGCAGTTCCTTCAAATTTGTGAGATCTGCAAAAGGAAAGTGCTTGTCAAATTTTCAGGGATGGGATATGTGGTATAGATTCATTAAATTTTAGCTGCACAAAATTATAAAACTTCCTTCGTATTAAGAGAACGGGTCTAAGTCTGACAGACGGCATATGATATACCAAAGCAGAGAATATCAAAGGAAACAAATAGATTATTCTGTTACCTGATAAATACTTGATATCTGAATCTGTAATGTAGTTACAATATCTCATATTAAGTGACTCCAGCTTTCTCAGGCCTGAAAACGATAATTGCTGCTCAAATACCAATATCAACAACTCAAAAGGTTGTCGAAGTTAAGAGGTGTCAAATGCCATCATGACATTCCAAAACAAAAGGATAGCATTTAAAACTTTAGGTCCTTATATCAGTAAGTAAATTAATGTGATATTCAGAAGGGTGATACCTTTCACATGAACCAGGCCACCATGAATCTTCAGGCATCGCTCAAGGTCAAGATTTACCAAATTAACTAAATTTGCAAACACTCTCATTCCTTCAGCAGTAACACCGCCACTTCTCTTGAAACTTAAAGATGTCAAGTATGAGAAACCTGCAAATCCAATATATAGCAAAATAAATAAAAACTTAATTCGCAGAAAGTTAGAATATTATTCTCCATTTGAAGTGAAAGCTTGGGCTTGCATAAGCCCATAAGCCAGGGGAGAGTTGGGCTTATTAAGATTAAGGGAGTTTAACTTTATCTAACAACCAATTCCAAAACCTGCTAGGATGCAATTGATTAGGCTTGCAGCGTTTGTAGCAGCTACAAGCTCATACTCAAGCCCATCTAATACCAAGACATTTAGAGAAGAGTAACTCAGTAAGCAGTGTGTCACTGACCTGACAAAACTCCAAGGCCATGTTCTGAGACATTGTCACAGTAATTACATGATAAGCTTTGCATGTTTGAGCAATCACTAAGAAAATTTAAGCCACTGTCAGTAACTTCAGAGCAAGAAATGTCAACGGACAATAATGACTGCCTTTGTGAAGCCACTACTTCCATCCAGGCATCCTTAACTCCAGGATACTCCCCCAAACAAATGTCCTGATGGCGAAATACAAGAAGCAGTTATCCCGCAAAGACAAAGCTCTGTCTCAAAATATAGTATTCAGAATATTTTGTAAGTAAGATTTTATTAGGTTTGAGAAGTTGCCTTGTCATTTATAAATATCAAGTTTCAGTGTCAGATGATCCCAATACAAGGTGGTTATCGATTATATCCGAAGCAGGAAAGAGCACATAAAGTAATCAATAACATTAATTTTACATACAAGTACTAAGTTTGATGGAACCATATCTGGTTTACTACTTTCTTGATCAAGACCACCGGCTTATTGTTCAGTGTCTTATGAGACTAAATTGAGCATCACACTTGTAAGCATAGGCAGCGGAAACCTTACATGCAGCGCACAATCCCGAAAGGTTTCAAGTGATTCCTCCGTGAGGCAGTTCGAGTCCACCAGTTCATCGAAAATCTGCTGGCTGAGATCACTCGGCAGCATAGCAAGAGTAGAATACTTACTGATATCCTGCATATGCATTTGACGTCATTAGACAAAAATGCGGCATTTCTCAGCAAAGCAAAACACATACGTCCACGAAACTACCTTGCAGACTTTGGCGACACAGAGCTCCATGAGTGCCGGGCACCGGCCAGGGCCCTTCCCTGGTCCCTTGCGGGAGACATCGGAGCTGCTGCGGGGCAGCGTGAGCAGCAGCCATTTCAAGCTGCTGGTCTTCGAGAACCTCGTCGGTGTCTGGAGAGAGTCGTCGTCCTCCTCCACCAATTGGCTTCGCTTCCTTGAACAGACGCCACCCATGATCGGTGCGTACTGGAACTATCACTCCCCTGTCCCTGTGGACTCGAAGGGATCTATGATCCTGCACAATCTTGGTTCTGAATGACTGACAGTTGCATCGCGTCAACCGCCTCTACTTAATTAGTCAGCTTCCACTCCATTCTGCGACATGAAAGAAATCATACAGTTTTAGGAGCAGAACAGAACTTTACCATTACAGTTTATTTTTAAAAATATTAATCATGCATGATGCACCCAGCCACCCACTACATCATAGATGGCCAAAAACCCAATCCTGAATAAAATGGATCAATCGAAACCGAAGGTAGCAGTAAAACAAAAGGAGCGAGCACCAGTCCTGCAGCTACCCGAACAACAGAGCCCAGCTCTCCAGCAGGCCAGCTGAAGTAACAAATCAAAAAAAAAATCCAAATAAATTAACAGTACAACTGCACTCCAATCCAAGCTCAGATGAACCAAGAGCCGATCAAAGCGACCTCAAGAACCTCGCCGATCAATCAATACGTATCGGATTAACGGACGGCAGTAGCAGTGGTAGATTACCCCGGCAAAAGCGGATAAAGAAGGTAAGCCAAGGCTTTGGGGGGAAAAGGAACAGTGGCCCAACTAACCCCGCAGAGCCCAGAGAGTCCCCACAAAGAAGCATGGAAACAAACAACGCCATAGTCGGCCGCCGAATTCTCACCTACCCCACCGCCGCGGAGCCGCCACGGAAGCCACCAGCAGCTAAACCCAAACCCCCGGCGCTAGGGGTCAACTCCACGGTTTTAATCCCGCCGCTTCGACGCGAGGTTAACGAACGCAACGAGCTCTCGCCGGATGGGGGCAGCGCAGTGGAGAAGAAAGGAAGGGGGAAACTGTTATTGTAGCAAGAACCGGAGCTGCCGGAGAGCCCCACGTGTCCTGCGGGGGGCACGAAGCACGGCGTCCCTGGCTTGTGGGCCGGGGTGTCGGTCTGGACCTCTCGGGGCTGCCGGGAGCGGCCGGTAGCCGGTTTCGAGGATGGGATAAGGCGAAGAGGGGTGAAGCAAGGGGCCGGCCACACGCTACCGGCCGATTGTGCGGCCGGGTATGTCCGTATTGGCCCCCCTTCTTTGGCGTACACACCGGACGAGACTTGCATACTCAGCGTGCTACTATCATGCCCCCGCATACGTGACATGATTTGATTAAAACAAAATAAGACCTGGTCTCATCCCTTAAAATCAAGGGGAAGAGATGATTAGATTAAAAAAAAACAGCCGTAAGATAGGGTGGAAGCACGGATGGGAGCATGAGAAGAGAGCAGGCAAGCCGGATCCGTACACACCGCCTACAGTGTACACTTCAGTTATTGTTTGTGGTGATTCCTTCCCTTACTCTCTCCATCACAGTTTAAAAGGCACAGTTAAATTTGTGTGCGTTTTCACAATAGACAAGGTTTAGGACGCATTGCATTTATTTTTAGTAGCTAATTAGTATTTCAATATACTATTTCTATATGCATGCATAGTGTGAATGCTATTTTTTAACCCATCTCACAACCAATAGATAACCACCTAGATCTCTGAGAATTTCCAAGCGCGCCTTTTAAACCGTGACGGAGGGAATATACAGTATAGGATAAGCCTAAGACTAGGCACAGTGGGAGTAACTTCGGCAGTAACATCGAGTCCAACTCGGTAAATTTGCTTATGTGACAATAAGTTAATGAGGAAAGAGGTAATTTGAATAACTTAGCTAGTTACTGTAACACCACATGTCCCAATGAAATGTGAGTCTATAACCTAATAAATGAAGTTTTACATGTTACCACACTAATGTTACTACTCACTATAAAAATAGTAATATAGTCTAATAATATGTGTATGTTATTCTCCATTGTGGCTAGTCTAAAAATGAATAGAGGTTGCGGACTCGGAGACTTGATACGGATGGTGGCATTTTCCTATATTTATTTGAGGGTTTTTTAATGTTTTTGTTTTGGCGGTATGACATGGCCCTTAACTCTAAAGAGTTTGTGACGACTTCATTAATCTAAAAATTTGTCAGTTCAGTCTTTTGAAGGAGTCTTGCGATGAAAATAGGTTAATTTGTCCTCGTCTCCAACTTACGCTGTCTGATGATTGTCGTGGTCTTAACTTGCACATTACTAGAGCTAGGGAGCCATTGACGAACATTGCCAGGAGACGCCAATGTTGATGATTTTAAACATGAATCACTGACCCGGAGAAGAATGTGAAGACCAGATAAATAGACCCAACCCATGTTAATGTTAGAAACATCATCGTGGATCCTATTGATGAAGCCACCCGCACCAACACGAATCGAGACGAAAGCATCATTTGGATAAATGAACCCTCACGCATCTGCAACGATACCGGAACTAGCAGCAGCATACACAGAGGTATTTTGTTCAAAGCACAAACATCTCTAGGCCAGCCAATCAGCCATCGACCTTATCTATTGGGGGGGGGGGAGGGTCACAAACAGTTCGGTGACATCGAGTTCAATCGTAGAGAGTGTGAGGGGTATTAGCAAAAGTGCAATTCTCGGGTGAATTAGTTAGCGAGCTCTCCTCCCCTCCCCTTCCCTCTCGCGACGCGCCCGCGCGCGCCGGGGGAGAAACCCTAGCCACCGCTCCTCCCGTCCTCCTCCCCCTCCCTCCGGCCGGTAGGCGTTGACGGGCAAAGCCCGGTCGGCGCGGCGGCGACGGGGCCTTTCCTTCCTCCTCTGCCTTCGGGGTCCGTCGCGGGGTGGAGCTCGTTGGTGGCGGCGCTGGGCTTCGGCAGGGCCCAGCGGCACGACGCCGGTGGTGCGGGGCGGCGGTGCGGCCGTCTGGTGGCGGCGCGACGGTCTGAGCCCCGGTGGTGGTGCGGCGGCTGCTGGGTGGTCCGACTCGGGTAGCGGCGCGCTGGTGGGCGTCTGGCCAGATCCGCCCGGATCTGGCGCCTAGGGTCCGGCTGGCGACGCAGGGGGTGGTGGGAGCTCGCCTGAGCTCCCGTGTGCTGCCGGTCGGCGGCGTCTCGTGCGGGGCAGTGGGAGGTTGTGGCGGCCGGCAGCGCGTGTTGGTGGATGCGTGTCCAGCCGGGGATCTCGGGCTCCCTGTTGGATGGCTCAGGCTGTGCTGGCCTTGGACCGCGGTCAGCTGCCTCCTCCATCTCCGGGGAGGCAGTGGCGTGGTGGTGGTGGTGCCCTGGGAGGA